AGAAGTTCATTTTGATTGGCTAAAATTAGAATAAATATGATTGGTGATGATCTTTTTTTTTATACAGTCAATTGTAATTTTTAGAGTACTTTTATAAGTTAAGATCATCATAATATATGAAAATTTTTTTATTATATATAAATACAACAACCGGCATAATATTCTATTTTTTTGGCCATAAAGCTAGTGTTTTTTAACTTGAGATACAATGAGATACAAAAGATTAGAAAAGTAAATGAGAAACAAAAGTTTTACTAGCCTTAACAGCGTCAGAAAGGTCAGGACATATAGTTGTTTGAATTTCTACTTATTGCTATATGTATACTAATTAATCTTTAATAAAACGGAGAAAAAAAGTAAATACAGTAACAAAAAATAAGCTAATAGGTGTATAAAGAGAGAGTTATAGTATACAACCATATCAACAAATACTTAAAAAAAATCTTTAGTAAGGTAGGTTATGAAGATTCATCATTTCAGGTAGATCAATATCATTAGTATTTTTACTTCGTGTAGTTTTAATATTAATCTTTATAGTAACAAAACTGTTTTTGATAATTAGGTATTTATAAAATATATGAGAATAGCATATGAATAAGTAAGTATATATTTGTATATAATTATTTTACTATTTTGCTTGTTAATTTACTTGATATTATTTTCTGATACTATGATATTATTCACTAGATCTTTGATAGTAAATGAATACTCTATATTATTATTGTTATTTACAGAATTGCAAATTTAAAATTTACTTATATTTATTTTAGATAAATCTAGGTCATAATAGAATTCTAAATTGTACTTGGGTTGTTGAAAAATGCCAATTCAATTTATAATAAAATAGAGGTAAATTTTATTTTTACCTGGGTTAAAGTCATCTAAAATATTATTAATACTAATAAGTTTATTATGTTAATGATATATTATCAGGTGATTTTAACTCAGATGAAAATAGAATCTTTCTCTAAATTACTTTTATCAATCATTTTGTTTTAAAATTTAAGATTTGAGTACTATTAAGAGAAAACTGTATATCCAAATAATTGTATATTGCATCGCTTATTAAATTGAGTTGTATTAATATAAATTGCATTTGAAATTTTATTTCAATCCAAGTAGATTCTCAATTTACAACAATTCTATTCTAACACATACACAATCAACTGGATTGCAGGACGGATAATATAAAAATACAAAAAAAAAAATCAATATGATGACTAATTGTATAATCAAGATACATGAAACTGAAATGACTAAAAAACTATTATTATTGAAGATTAAGTTTGCTGAATAATATACTACAATTTCCAGAATGAGGTTTTTCCTCGGTGGCACTCTTACTTTAATATTCGTTTGGAGTTACTTTTATAACCTATTTAATAGTATTAAACAGTTAGTATTAGATCTGTAAATTAAAATATCTTAAAAATAAAATAATGTACTACAATGCTAAATATAAATACTATCTCTGGCTTTTTTTATTAGATTGACTTCTATTAAATATTTATATACAATACCATAGCTTCGTTCACACAACAGCCCAATATGGATCTACTTAATATATTTAATACATATTTATTCATATACTCGCCTGTGAATTCTCATATTAAGATCAGTGTTGCTTAAATGTCTCAATATTAGATCTGAGAGGTTAAGTTAGTTTTTGTTAATTAAAAGTTGGTATCAGGTATCTGGTATATATGTATATACATACGTACGTACGTAATGCCAAAAAAATTTACCAACTAGATTTAGCCAATCAGAGGTGAGTCAGGGAATTTGATCCAAAGCCTGTTCCAAAGTATAATCTGAGGTATGATTCAAGATCTATAATTAACTAAGCAAAATGAACTTCTTCAATGCTAAGTTATACAAATAGATCTTTGGATCGCAGAAAACTATAGGGCTGATATGGTAGTAGGGTACTCACTTGGCAAGTCCCGAATAGAGAGGTAGTACAGATCTTTAACAGTACTATATAAAGGATTATCATCAGAAGAATAGCAAACTAAATGAGACTGAAGTGTTTGGTAAAGCACCCCACTAACCAGGCTACTAGAGAAATAACTAGAAAAAAAGAACCTAACCATATGGACCAGAGTAGATTACAACCTTTCTGAACTATCTAAATTGGTAGTTTGAAATAGTCAAGAATATCATAAATAGTCTATAATATGTGTACCAGGGTTTGGATAAACTCTATAAGGGCAGAAGTAGGTTGTATAATAGTAATCAGACCATAGTATCTAATATAAAAACTGGGGTACAAGTAATAGGCCTCAGCTTGTCATATCAACTGAAGACTAGGTCAGCTAGATTGTAGATACAGGGGGCTCTAGCAGGTTTGTCTCAAGGATAAAGAGCTCTTAGAGATAAAGAGCCTGCCTTAAAGTCCTAAGTCAGTAACCAAAACTAAGGAGTCTACATTAGATTCTTGCTTAGTTAACAGTGTAATTATATAAGCACAGAGAGTTTAAATAGATAACTCTCTAGTCAGGTTGTAGATATGATATCTAGTGTAGAATTTAGTAATAAGTAGACTACTTAAATAGATAACCAAAAGTTGCATGTATAACTAGTTGTACTCTCCAAATATATATATGGTATGAAAATTATACTATAAAAATTATAACTATAATCGAATAAAGATACATAACAGAGAGGTTACCTTAATATCAAAAAAAAAATTTCTTTACAAATTTAGGAAGCTTCTACTTATTATGTAAATATAGTCCCCCTTCAGAGTTAGTTATTTGACAATTACAAGTTCTAAAATAATCAATTATTTAACAATTGCAAGCTCTAAAATAACCAATCGTATAGAGTTTATATTATAATTACTTTAGAACTTGTAACTGTCAAATGACTGACTCTAGAGAAGGCTATATTTATATAATAAGTGGAAGCTTCCTTATAAAAAAATTTTATATAGTTATAAAATATAAATTATTAATATCTTGTGATTTACTAAACTAAATTTAGTAATTTTATTACTATTAAAATTATATAAACTTTTTACAACTTTAATTAAAAGGCAAAAAGAAACTTATTTAGTAAAAAAAAAGTTTATATAGTACTCTTTGTAAAAATTATTGAAGATTTCTACTACTATTAAAATTTTATAAATAATGCCTAGTAATTTTTACTATGATGCTTATATAATATTTATACTCTTTGATAGTAAATTATTTCTTAATTAATATTAAATTTATATTATTAAATATTTAATTTTTAAATATTTATAAATATTTTAAATAAATATTTATAAATATTTTAAATAAATATTTATAATTATATTTTTAATATACTTTATATTTAATAAATATTTATTAAATATTAACAAATAGTTTATAAATACTTGACATTTTAACAAACTTTGTAATATAATAAATATAAAATTATATTTATATAAAATATGTAAAGTAAACAGATTATTAAATAAAATTTTAAAGAAAATTCTATTTTTATCTGAGTTAAAGTTATCTAAAATATTACTAAAATTAATAATTTTAGTTATATAAATAATATTATAGTTTATTAGATAATTTTAATTTTGGTGAAAATAGAATTTTCTAAATTTAATATAAAAACTTTATTTATATAATTTTAGCAATTTTGTTTTTGTTTATTTAAGATTAAATTATTTTAAAAAATATATTAATTTCTATCTATAGCTATTCCTTAAACCGTCTAGCAGGCAAATTTGCCTGCTAAAATAATTTTTACCCCATTTTTGTATAATTGCAAAAAAATTTTTTAAGCTTTACCCCTTTATTAAACCAGAATTAAAGTTCACTTTTCTACCAATCATATACTAATTCGCGATATTCCCTTATGCACAATAATGCAATGTTCAAGTAACTTTATGATCACCTATCAAATTGTCTTGCATGCATAAAACACCCTGCATATAAAACGCCTTGTATACATAAAATGCCTTGTATACATAAAATGCCTTGCATAAAATAGTTTTTCGTTTGACTTTGTGGAGAATTTTTTTAAAGGGTTTTTTTATTGGTTAACCGCACAAACACTTGGTCTTTTTAAATAGGCAAAAAAAAAAAAATTTCCAAAGTTCCATTAAATAAATAATTATCCAACGATTAGTTTGTTTTAAATATTTTGTTGACGGCTTCGCCAGCTTTCAAATTTTTGATTAGTATCGATAACATCTTCAAAGAAAGAAGGAAAAGAATAAAAAAAATAAATAAATAAATAAAATAAAAAACCCATATCAAATAAATCAGAAGCGCTTCCTTTATTTTTGTCGTTCCCTAGTTCGTCATCATCGTCACAATTTGAAGATATAGAAACGTATGTCGATGAGGATGAGGATGAATATGTACCAGTTGTAACATACCGTCAGCATTCTTTAAGTGATCCAGAATCAGATAAAGAAGAGGATAATGAAGATGCT